TTGAGGTAAAATGGGTTAGTAGGTCTGCTAATTCTTTGGCTGATGCTTTAGCCAAACAGGGGGTTTCTAGGCAAGATCTTTTTTGTGCTTCTATGTAAGTTGTTATTAATTTGGAAATCTGTACTTAACTAGCCCGGAGAGGTTGCAACTCGTACCTTTCCTTGAGGTCTTTGTACTATTGTCTATTGCTGTTTTATAAAATCATTTCAATTATCAAAAAAAAAAAAACTGAGCCAAAGATTCAGAGATTCATGACAGAATGAGTTAAAACAAAATTTAAACTCAGAAAATGTAAATGGTTGTAATAGATCAACTGAATAATCTATTACACAAACAAAAACTAATATTTAATTTCATGTTTGAAATGAATATTGAGCTAGCTCGAAGTGGTAATCGTGTAAGTTAGGCAGGCAATAACATTGTTACTCCACATATCTACAATATTGTCACCAACTTATGTTATAATACTATTTCTTGTACTCTACATAATGCTGGTAATGTTCATTGTTGAATATGTCAATTCCTGTAAAAGTTCCATTGAAACGGGAATATGTTGTGGAGATATTAGGGAAATTAGGGGCATTTTAAGCCGTGCTTTCAGTCAATCTTGTTCCTCCGGCTGTATTCTATCATTCCCTACCATCATCTGCATTTCCCCTAAATCATCTCCAATGGACATGTGATAATTATCAACCTCATTTATGCCCAAAATCTGTTTGTTGTTCATGGAGCATGTAGAATCCAACCCAAAAATCTCCTCAGCCTACTCCTGGTTTTCCTGTAAAAGAGATTCATTCACAATACCACTCAAATTGCTCGAAATTTCAACTCTAGAAAGCCTATTTACTACCCAATCACCCTCTTTGCCTATAATTTTATCCACTCTGAACTTTTATAAAAGCTTTTTGGCTCCTACTGATCTTCTTCCTTTAAACATCATCGAGTTCCTTTTCTATCCAAACAAAGTCCTGTTTGGAATTCTCTGCTGTGAACAGACTCCTGTGAAAGGTTTAGAAGAAGGCAATGACAGATCCAAAGATTGGTCCATCATCATCGCACTAGAATCCTCCCCTCATGTGCTCCCCTAACTTGTCATGTGATCTTGTAGAGGCTTTGGGCTTATTAGGACCCCTAAAATGAGGTCCACAATCAGTTAATTCCAGCCCATCCTTGACACCCAGCACATGATCTCCTGGACTCAACTCTACTGGTTCAGCACCATCCCACCCATTAAATTTAGTATGAGTTGAATCATTCAAAGGACTCCAACTGTCTGTCTTCTTCCCACATGCCTCGGCCATTGAAGAGTCTAACTTTTCTCCTTCTTTTCTGCCAACTTCCAGAGGAAAGCAACTGTCACATGTAACGCCTTCAGACTTCCCTAGGTGACTAGGTGAGTCATCTCAACTCTTTGACTTCCACCTCTTGAACCTCCTTTGTTAATTGTTATGCCCTTCCAAATCGGGAAAAGCCTCACCCAATTTGAAATTCACCAATCCCTGCTCGCCACAAAACTAGTCTACCTCAAACCCTTCATCCTCCCTTCTGCGAGCCTTCAACCACATTAGAGAAGTGTGCTTCAATGGAGATCGCCAACCATATTGGATAAAACATTCTTTGAGCAACGATCTGTCTTTTTTTTGGTATGGTCAGCTACATTAGAGAAGTGTTTGAGAAGGAACAGTTTAAGTAGGAGAAATGTGGTGCTGTACTCATTTCAGTGTACCATGTTTTTGGCAGCAATGGAGATTAGCAGATAACCTGTTCATTCATTGCAAGCTGGCAAACTTATTATAGGTAAAATGCATCAGAATTTTTGGAGTTGAAGGATGTCTCCCATAAACACTGGAAGCTCTCCATAGTTGGAATTTGAAAGGACTAAGAAGAAGAGGAAAGGCTGTTTGGCAAAGTATACCAGCTGAAATTATGTAGAACATTTTGGGTGGGGGGAGGAGGGGAGGAATGCTTGTACATTTGAAAATGAGATATGCTCAGAAGCAATCATTGTGAAAAGGGCAGTCAGCACCATTTTCTCTTGATTGCCGGTATGCAAAGCTTTTTAAGGATTATTATACAAGTTTTTAATATTTTGATTATGAGAATTTGTTTATAAACTATAACTCCTAAAAGATCTCATTGAGTTGTACATTCCCACTGTGCAGAGCCTTAGTGTACATAGGTGCTAGCTTTGTAATCTTTTGCCATGCGATCAATGAACATAATACTTAACCTCTTAAAAAAAATCATGGAAGTTGTGTGTGCACCTTATTTGTATAGCTGATTGTCATATTGATATTGATGCTAATGGTCTATTTTGTGCATGTATTCATTTATTTATTTACTTTTGACCGGTTATTCTTCATTATTTAGTATATTGTATTCTTCATTATTCATCATGCTCTAGGTTGTTGTTTTCATCGGTGGGGCCAACATTCTGGTTTATTTACCTTTAGTTGATTGTCATATCGATATGGTTGCTGATAATCTACTCTCTATATTATCTTGTTTATTTGTCTACTTTGTTTTATATCCTCTTCTTACCCAACTCTGGTTGACACACTAGCTTGTTAATAATGCTTGCAGTTAATGTAGATGATGCTATGGATGACATTGTGCGCCAATTTAAAGGGGTTTCTGATGGTTTGATGCGTAGAGTTGTTGGTTCACCTTCATTACCTTATGCAGCTTCTCCTTCAATTATGAGCAAGAATTTCTCCTTGAGTGCAGATGACATAAGTAGGCGTTCTGCAAATAAACCTGATTCAAGCTACAACCACATGGAAACTTCACATTGCTTATCTGATCTTGAGGAAAGTCTCAAAAATGTAGGTAGTGGCCATGGGGGAATAGGATATGAGGCAGAAGTTAATGGTTGGCATTCAGACAATGAATTGAACTCTAAAGGTTTCCCACCTCGAGTGGTCAAGCGTCGCAATGACTCCAGAGGATTAGGTTCTGCAAAAAGCCAAAGGTTGAATTTGCAAGCTGAAAGGATTGGTTCAGATGGATATCCTCTAGCTAGTTCTTCCTTAACCTATGATTCTGTAGAGGATCCTGTTGGAGTGCCACCCGAGGTATTGTGTGCTTATGAAGCCATCTTATTTCTACTCATAAAAAAGCCATCTTATTTCTGGTTTTAGAAATCATTGCACACTTGAATGTGTGCAGTTACTTGGAGTTCTGATCATCTTGAAGATTTTTCTGTACTTGGATTTGATATTTCTTTTTTTAAGTTGTTTAAAGTATTTCCTCCATATTTTCCTTCTAAACTCCATTTAAGTGTTTGGAAGATGGATTATTTGTTTGGGGGAATAAATCCATAATAGGTGTCTTATACATCTTGGTTTTCAAGTTTTAGGATACATGCAAAAATTCTGCACACACTCTGCAAACATGGGAATCCAGCTGCACATTAGGAACATCTCCTCGTGAATTTTACATGTATGTATGGGAGATATTCCCAATGTGCGGCTGGGTGCTATGTATGCAGAGTTTTTGCTTGCAGGAGATCCAAATTCTCTATTTTCATCCTAAAACTTGGGATCTTGGACTCCTTGTTCGTAGACGTCCACTTGGATTACCAGTTTATGACTCTTGGCATCTTTAGATCATCTTACTAATTATTTATCTTTTGTTTCTTTTTCCTATACCAGTTTGTTTTCACCATCTCTAGAAACTTTATCATATGCTTTCTCTAGATCAATGAATACCATATCAAGATCTCTCTTAATCTTTTTTTTCAGTTGTCTCAATAAAAATATGGCTTCCATAGTTGATATCTTTTTGTAAAAATCTTCTCTTCATTTGAAATTTATTGAATTAACCCATCTATGTTTTTTCCAATTGTTTATTTAATGTTTTATTTTAAACTCATTTGAGGTGTATATGCACTAATTATGCCCATGATTCCCTAACCTAAGAAAGTCATTAAATTTTTTTTATTTATTACCAAAAAAGTGTTTCAAATTCATTTTTTTTAGATAATTATTTTCTATTATTGCTATTCCATTTCTATTATTTATTTCTCCCTTGTACCATAGTTTATAGCCATCAATTTTTTTAGCTTTCCCCTTCCATTTAGTTTCTTGTGAGCATGCTGTATTAATCCTTCTCTTCTCATTGTATCTACTACTTCCATAGTCTTTCCTATTAATATTCATTCAAGTGGCCATTTAAATTCATGCTTCTTGGACTAACTTTTTTATCCACCCTCATCCAATCCAAAAGGATGCAAAAATCCTTGCCTATTTCTCACCACAACCAGATGTTGTAGCATATTGTTTCTGAAGAGTACCATGGTCTACTCTTGCCCATTTTTCATCGCACTCAGGTTAAGGTGTCATTAACCACTTTTTTTGGTAATGCCCTAGCATGAGCACAAACCATTCAAGATTCATGTTCATAGTTCACCAAAAATTTTAATGTTGACTGCTAACCTGATGCAGGTCTGGGCTTGAGACCAGTGGTGTAAAACAAGCTCAGACTGGCAAAGTTATTTGATGTTTCAATAATAAACTGGAAATAAAACATAAGCAATTTATACAGTTGTATCAGTATATATACTAATAAGATATGCTCCTCCAGTAATAAAATTGCAAATGGGTGCCTACCTTGTTATTTTTGTTGCCTAAATTATTGCTCTTTAACATAACTCAAGGGCACCTTGCCAGTTGCCACCTAGGCAATGCCTTGACTATTATGAATATAACTGTGAACCATCACTTATATCTCACAACCATTCTTTTTACCACGTCAGAATTCGCACTACCTCCACCTTGGAGTAGCTTAGAGAACTCAGAAGTTTGCCTCTTAGAAGTGGTATAAGCTTTACCTTATTGATAACTCCTGCCCACTAGCCTAGACAGTGTTTTGAAATTGCAAGGGGCTTTTTGTGACCGAGGCACAAGGCACAAGGTGAGGTACATGCCTTTTTGAAGTGAAATGCAATTTTTTTTTTAAAAATTCAACAAAAAAAAAAAAGCAAAAGCAAGCAAAAAATAAAAAATAAATAAAATAAATAGTTTTAGTAAAAATTGTGTACTTAAATTTTAAACTAAATGTTTTAAAAAGCCTATTAGTTCGAATTAAAAACCCTATCAATAAACTACTTATTTTACCTTTTCACAAAAAATTAAAATACATGAACATAACATATAAAATGTGTTCAGGCATGTTAAACTTCCAATCTCTTTATTTCTTCCCTAATCTCATTACCCTAATTCTATAAGCCACTTTGTACTGAGCCCCTTGAGTCAAGCCCAATTATGTCCATCTAGGGTCTTAAATTCTTATTCCATACATCAAAGATAGGGTTTTAATTTTTAATCATAGTTCTTTATATTTAAAAAAAAAATATCTTGTATTAAGTACAAATGAACAACATTAGTAAACAAGTGGCTTTGCTGAAAAAAAAGCAAAAAGCACAAAATTTAACTAAGTGAATGCCTGGGCTGAGGCGCAAGATGCACCGAGTACATGCCTTTTTAAGGGAGTTATGCCTGGGCCACCTTGAAATGCACCTCACCTGTTCGCTTAGGCACACCTTTTAAATCACTTGGCCTAGAGGCTATGTACTGTAGAATGCTTTGAAGCATAAATGAAATCAAGGGTCATTACCTGATTTTTTTGGATAAATGAAAATGCATACAATGAAGATAGAGACCAGACCAAACGATTACAGAAAAAAAAGGGGAAAAAAACAGGCACAACACATACGACTCATAAAGGCACTGCCACAGAGCTCCACCATATTTATACTCCAACATTAATGCATCAAGCCAATTGGAAGGATTCCTGAATCAGGTGTATGGGATTGTAAAGCCCATTGATGATGTGCTACTGAGTTTCCTTCTCTTAGACCTGTTCATGGGCCAGGTAATATGGGTGTTCATTATATGGTCTAGACCGCCAAACTGCACCAAGCCAAACCGAAATTATTGGTTTGGTCTGGTTTTCAAAATTTTAGAAACCAAACCAAATTATTAATAATATATTTATTAATTCATATTATATATAATACATATGGTTAGACATATGTATGTATTCATTTAACATTTCATACATTATTGATGCTTGTTTCAATTTTTAACTTGTAATTTGATGTCCAAGGAGTTGTTTATGTTTGAGAAAGTGTGGATGTAATTTATATAATAGTAATAGGTGGTACTTGTTGACATTTCAATTTGATATTTGAGTTGTTATTTATGTAGGTATGCATCTTATTTGGGCTTTCTAATTGGGTTAAGCCCAATAGAATCACCCAAATTGTATTAGAAACCAGACCAAACCATTCTATAACAGTTTGGTCTGGTTTGGTTTGAGAATTTCTCAAACTGTAATTTACTGGTCTGGTCTGAGATATTCTCTAAACTGAACCAAACTGGACTGTGAACACCCCTACTGGGTAGCCCCAGCAAATTCTTTATTGGGCTTGGACAAAGTTTTATGTCCACGGGGTTGGGCTTTCTCAAATAAGCCTGGCTCGATAATATAATATAATATTATAATATAATATAATATAATATATTATTAATAATATATACATGTCCAGATTGGGATTCGGGCTTTATATAAGGGTTGGGTTCAGGCTTGGTCATTTTCTCTTAATAAAGAGAGAAAGCCCGACCCAAACCTAGCCTGGCCTGGCCTGGCCTATGAACAGGTCTACCTTCTCTGCCTATAAAAACAAAACAGTAGTTGATATCTTTAGCAACAAAAAGAATATCCTTGAGGATGAGAAAACTTTAATTGGAGCATTCCTCCCATCTTTTAACAAAGCAGCTACCAATTCTTTGCAGTAGTATATCATCACAATGTTATTCATATTTAGGGACCTTGCTAGCAGAATGCCTTTTTTGATTGTTCTTGCTTCAACCATTTGAGGAGAATAGATGACAGTATGACACATAAAGGCTGATATGGGAAACCAACTGAGAGGTTGGAAGGTAGGAAGAAATTAGGTTGTGGTGACTCATTTGCAACTTGCTGATGATATAATCATTTTTTGTGAGGACTATTCGGCATCCAGCTTAAGACATTTGAAGGCCCTAGTGGATTGTTTCCAGAGAACCTTAAGTTTAAAAATTAATTGGGAAAAGAGTTGTGTGGCAGGTGTGAATTTGGGAGAGGAAGAAGTTTGCTTGTTATCTGGAATTCTAGGCTGTGAGGTAAAGAATTGGCCTCTAGATTATCTTGGCATGCCTTTTGGGGGGTGGGATTCGAGAGTAGATAGCTTTTGGAAACCAATAATAGAAATATTTGTAAGGAAGTTAGCCATGTGGAAAAGGAACTACATTTCTATAGGGGGAACAATCACCTTGATGAGATCCACTGGTGGGTGTCGAATCCAACCAAAGATAAATGTCCTGCTCAATTTAAATATTTGTATATAGTGGTGAGCAAGGTCATCTCCACAGGGATTGGGTGGATTTATTTCCAAGTAAACAAACTAGGGGGTTGTAAAGATAAGGAAAATAAGATGAAATAAAAGAAAACAACAGAAAGCAAGGATCAAATCGATGGGAGATAGTTTCTGGTTGAAGGGACAAGTTCAACTTTAATTCTTATCATTGATCCTCAATGCAAGGATAAATTCATATGTTTACGAATAAATTGGTTATAGCCATTAACAAGCTCTAACAGCCAGCCTCTACTCGTATTATTCGACAACCAAAACAAGCTCTTTGATTGCTTCTCTTATTAATAGACAGTCCTAAACAAGCTCTTTGACTGCTTCTCTTATTAATAGACAGTCCTAAACAAGCTCTTAGGATTTAATCTATTAATAGCATTAAGAGGGGAGAGACCCAATTCTGGTCAGCGGTCTCACAAGCTCGGACCGTTTAAACCAGATCATACATTTTTCTAACATAGATCAAAAACTTTTTTGCAATCAATTTCTGTTAGTTGCCACCATGATCAAACCTACCAGTCATGTACGAAACTGGAGGTTCAATCGGCCATAGATTATTCTCATTGAATGAGCAAGGGTGCCTTCTTGCTTAATCATTAAAAATAATCTTCACAGTTAATCGCAGAAAACATATGAATACCCATAAACAATGAACTGAAATAAAAATCAATTAGATCTCACAATGTTTATAGAATCAAAGCTTCCCTAACCCTTCAACCAGAAATTAAAACCTTACAGACACTTCATGATGAAATCGCAGATTCCAGATGAGAGGGGGCGAACTCTGCTTCTTCCTCCTTGGTTGCTGATTGCTCTTCTTGAAGGCTGAAGCTCTCTTGAAGGGTGCTAGTCCGCCCCCTTTATATAGACTTAGGAGGGAGCTGTCTCCTGCTCCTCTAAGGAGTTCTTTCCCCATTGGGAGTTCAGTTTTCTAATAGATAATGCCTAGATTAGATCTAATCTACTCCTATCTCTTAACTGGTAATCTTAATCTCTTTTATCTTTATAGAAATACAATAGAAAATTGAATCTGATAGGACTCTTTGATGTTTCTTGTTCTTGCATTCGTATTGGGCTTCTTCAACGAATTGGGCTGCTGCAAGGCTTCTCTGCGAACTGAGTTTCAGCTGCGAACTGGGCTTCTCTACGAATTCGCTTAGAATTCGGGCCTGATTTTGACCTTGACGCAGTCTGAATCTATCAAAACTCAAAACATGAAAGTTGTAGAGTTTTTCCTTATCTTTCTAATGCATCTTCATTCATCTCAATTGGAGTCCGGATGGGAGAGTTATGCCCAAATTATCACGTGGCGCCGAAACTGTGCAAAATTACCCGATTAGCCTTGTTTTTCACCCTACGCCTTCTTTCGTGCCCTAAATCGAAATACAAGAATAGTGAGTCCAATTAGGTACTAATTAAGTATAAAATACTGAATATTGAGGGATAAAAATATGATAACTTTTATTCTCATCATCCACACTAGCCAATTTTCCCACCTATTACCTGCCCACCTTTAGAGTCCCAGTAAAAATTGCAAGGCAACTGGAAAAAATAATGAGGGACTTCTTATGGGAACCGGGAGATGAAAAGAAAGACCACTTGGTAAAATGGGAACAAGTGTGTAAAACCAAGGATCGAGGAGGACTAGGTCTAGGGAATCTGGTTAGTAGAAATACAACTCTCCTAGGAAAATGACTTTGGAGGTTTCCCCTAGAAGGCTACAAATTATGGCACAAGGTCATTGGTAGCATCAATGGTGTAGCAGACAACGGCTGGAGTGCAAAACTAGCACCTCAGGCAGCTTCAAACTCCCCTTGGAAAGCAATTTTTGAGGTACTTCTTTTCTTAATTTTCTCCGTTGTGATGTGGGATGTGGAAAGGTCCTTTTTTGGGAACAGCAGCTTCCCAACTTCCCTTGAAACTGCCATACTTTGACAACCTAATACATTGGCAGTTTCCAGAAAATATTTATTGCCTCCACTCTCAGTCACTTCTCCATAGCTTGGAAATTGTCAGCAAAGTTGTCTTCATCAGCTGATAATTCTTGCACATGTTTGAGATGATATGTAGAGGGTCAGGAACAGATTCATAAAATGCCTATACTGTCATTTCTGGATTCCATATTTGCATTGCAAATTCTGAGACTTAGGATATAATTTTTCTTGCCAATTTCCTCTCTATTGAGACAGGAACACAGGTTGTAGGGAGAGGTGGATTGATATGTATTGTGGGACTTAACAGTGTGGGCCTCAGCCCATTTATGTTATGTCTTTCTATTTATTGTTGGGCCATACTTCTGTTATTAAGTGTTAATGGGCCTGGGCTTGTTTATTTTAAGTTACACTACCTCTTACTAATGGGGGGTAAAGTTGTAATCTTATGTTTTTTAATGTTTCCTTAATATAAATATTAGTTTGAAGGGCTGGTTGTATGACTGCCACCCTATTATTAATCTCTCTCCTTCTTCTCCTTCTTCTAAATCTCTCTTCTTCTTCTTCATGGTATCAGAGCATTAAGCCGATCTCATTCTGCTTGCCTATCTTCTTCTTCACATCACCTTTCTTCTTTAAGTTCTCTTTTTTATTATTGGAGTAACAAGGAGTTCTACTGCTGGTTGTGGTTAGCTGAAGTTTTTTAAGGGTTTTGTCCTTGGAAAACTCCAAGGAGACCCAAAATAGTTGCTGATATGCCCAGGTAGGGCAAGATACTGTGGAGTAGTCGTATGGACTACTAGAAAGACCTATTCAACCGGTCTAGCTACTGGACTGCTAGTAGTATCAGTCCAGGAGAGTAGTATACAGTCCAGCCAAGCTTGTTTGCGAAGTTTGTGTAAAGGGAAGTGCTGTTAGACCTATTCTACTTACTAAATATCAGATTTTTGTGAGTTCATAATGTCTTCCAGCACGAGTGAGGTCTCCTCTAGAGGTTCTAGGACCGTTGACAGTGTTAGTAATGTGAAGCTATGGTACAGATTACTAATGTGAAGCTAGATGAATACAAATATAGGGAATGAGTCATTTCAGCAAGATGGTTCATAGTGAGCCATGAACTATAAGGTTACATTGATGGGAAGATTAAGGAGCCCAAGGAAGATGAACCAAGTTATAGGACTTGGTGTAGGGAAAATGCAACTATAATATCATGGTTGACGATTTCTATAACTCGCAAAATTGTGAGGACTGTTCAGCATTATACAATAGCCCACAAAATTGCGAGGACTGTTCAACTAGAAATTTTGTTTATAAGATCATTAATCAAGCCTTCCACATGCTTGCTTGTGGATGGTCCGATGAGCCATTTTCTTGACAATTTGTCTGCTTATCCACTAATAAAAAAGTCGCAAAAGAGTAGGGTATCCTACTCTGAAGACATGAGGAAGACTGAAGAGAAACCATTTTTTATTTTGATAAATTGAAGAGAAACCATTACAAATATTAAATAATAGAATTTGACATGCTATTTATTTATTAGTGAAATTGTAATACAAGATATATGAGAATAATCAATTATCATACTATTAAATGTAACGATAACAAAGTTTAAGGGAAAATACTAGGGGGATAATAATTAGAATGCTATTCCATGGGATGGGGAAAACTGTCTTCAAAAAATCAAGATGCAACTAGTCACCTCATCCCACTTTTTGTTTTAAGGTAACTAAATAGACGTGGGAATAGATTTAATTTTCATCAGTATCTGTGGTTCAAACTATATTATTGCTTGCATGTTTAGCAAAGAAAAACTATATTATTTTGGTTTCTTTCCCCATTTCTATCAAAGCATTCAATTTCAGGGTTGTATGTATTACTCTTTTGACATGTTCATACTCTGACTTCTTTGCAGTGGACACCCCCTAATGTTAGTGTGCCTTTGTTGAATTTAGTTGATAATATTTTTCAGCTAAAGAGAAGGGGTTGGCTAAGGTGAGTTAGTACAGACCTCATTTAAGTAGTGTTTTAGTTGTCATTTTTTAAATTCAGCGTTAAGAAAATTATAGTGAAGGACTGTAGGATACTAAGATTTGTGTTTAGAAATGTGCATATTTTCTCATAAGCAATGCTGTGCACCCAATAATTTTCTTTTTTAGGAACTCTGTTCTTTTCACCAGTCATATAGGTTGAAAAACATTGACTGCCAGCACTGCCATTGAGTGCTACATAACATACAATCATGTTACATTCTTCTTTACTTACCATGATTTATTAACCCTGCATGTGCTTATAACTTTCCACAGAAGACAGGTCCTATGGATTTCAAAGCAAATTCTACAGTTGATGATGGAAGATTCTATTGATGACTGGCTCTTGAGGCAAATTTATTGGCTTCGGAGAGATGATGTTATTGCTCAAGGGATTCGTTGGGTCCAAGATGTAAGGACAACCAATTTCTTTCTTTTTTTTATTCCTTTTGAACCACAGCATTAGGTCCAAGATGTAGGGATATTATTGCTCAACGTTTGAAGGTTGAAAATTGAGCCAAAAATGATTATTTTGTGAACCTAAAATTTTTAGCTCTGTTGAATCACTTCTGAGGATGGGTTTTGAGCCCCCAAAGAAGTAGGGATGCGAATGGGTCAACCTAAATGGTAAACTGCCTTGACCTGTTTCTATCAGATTGGGTTTTGGTCAAGCAAATCTGTTCTATGTTGAGTTAACTCGAGGCAGATGATCCTAACTGAACCTCACTCATTGGCATCACTAAGTCATAGCTTTCTTTCTTTTCCATATTGTTATGGGTGTTTCCAACTTATTGATTTAGATACTTTGGTTATATTTTGATATGTAATCTCTCTTGTTAGAAAGAATGACTTTAAATTATGCTTTTTTTTCCCTTTAAATCATCAGCTTCGTGAATACATAACAGGTAACATATATTTATAGTGAAATATAGACAAAACTGACAAGTAACAGTGACGTTGTAAAAACTGTAGGGCTGTAAACATATCAAATCAAATCAAATTTGGACATGAGGCATCAGAAGGTAGCATAGGCTAACCTTCCATGCTGAGCACAATCTTCTTGTAGCATACTACTATTTTATTTAATTTAATAAAATTTGGAAGTAACCGATAAAAAATTGAATTTGAGTTCTGTTTGATGTCCATTGGTTACAACTTAATGATTTGAATTCAGAAATCAGAACCATTGAGACAAAGCTAGGGGTACAGTTTTTACCTCTGGAAGATTAGTACTCATTTCAATTTTAGATTCATATGGTACAGTTTTTACCAACCCACCCATTTCAGGAGTGGGTCATATGGGTCAAATGACCCATTAGGGTCAGGAAAAGAGGGCCAGGGTGGGTTGGGTCACGGGTACCCAATGGGTCGTGATGGGTTAGGATTAGTTGGGTCAAGGAGAGGGTCGAGAGAGGTTCAAGGGGAGAGGGTCGAGAGAGAACACTGTTTACCTGCAACTCTACAACTGCAAGCCAGAACAGTCGAAGTGAAATCTGCTACAACTGCAAGCCAGAACAGTCGAAGAGAAATCTGTTCCACCATTGAAGATTAAGCCCTTTCTTATTTTTGTTCTTTGTTCCACTGGTCACCAAATCGAGGGCAGGTCGAAAGCTGTTAGGGTTTCAAGCCTCTCGCCATTGAAGTTTTTTCTCAGTTCTGTTCTCATCGCTACTATTTCTCAGAGCTCAATCGAAGCTTTAGATATAGATAAGTCTTTAAACATTTTTCATCTTCTTGAATATCATAGATATTATATTGTGATTGGCATAGTGAAGTAGGAATCACTCACATGAAAGGAATTTTGCGGCTCTGGGATCTGGGATTTGTTTGAGAAATTTTAACCAACACGCTATCGAAGCTCAATCGAAGCTTTAAATTGCTCAGTCGAAGCTCAATCGAAGCTCAATCGAAGCTTTAGATAGGTTAGAGAAAAGAGGCATTTTAACCAACACGTTATTAAAATGAAAAGACTCGTTTGAGACTGAAGATCGGTGAATGAATATTAATGAAGGGAATTAGAATTGTATAGCTGATCGAGCATAGTATATAACTTTGTATTAGTGATGAGTAGAATGTTTAATAACTTTGGTTCATTTTATTATCGTTTGATTACATTAATTTCCTTTGAATTAGTTTCAGTTTTAGAGATTGACAGTATTATTAACACACGTTAAATAATTTCTTTATAGGAATAATTCTTAATTGAACATAAAAGCCACCACTTATAATCTCATGCTTATCAATCTGCTTAATTATTTGAGTTTAATTAGCTACATATGCAATTAGATTGTTTGGATAGACAGTCAAGAAACATTACTAGAAACAAATCTAGAAAGAAAATACACAATAGTCATGCTGGGTCCATCAGCTTTTGTTAATTTTGGGTCAGGGGGGATCATTTATGTTGGGTCCATCAACTGGTCGATAGAAATCAATGAGCATGTGCATCTCATATTAAAGAACCTCGCTATTATATATATGCATAAATAGTGGGCCGATAGTGGTTTAATTGGTGACAATTAATTGGTCTGTCCAAATAGTGGGCTGAGCTTTTAATGCCATAATTATCATGTTTCTGGTGCTTTTATTTACTTGTTGCTAGTTTTAGAATGTCAACATAATTCTTCTTTTGGTGACAATGGTATCTTGCAGGTCAAGAAAAAAGGCAAGCTTTTAAATGTTAATTAAACTATTGGTAAATGAAGATTAGCTTACAAGCCTAATGGAGTTTGTATATCAGAAAACATGAAAATTTTAATTTGATTTTATTTGTACCTAATTAATATGAGTTAAATTATGTGCTGCTTTACACAAACCTGCTTTACACAGACCACAACTTTGTTCCCAATTATTTTATTTTGCTTTGTGAAAAGTGATCTAATAGCTACAGTATAAACTTAGAATATCTAGAGGTCATGAACTCAAAGACTTGTGGAAATCCACCTGTTGTATTTGAACAACGTTGATGTTGAGTAATGAAGACTTTAGTTTCCCTATATTATGTGTATTGAGGGATCCATGGTTCCAATGCAGAAGCTGAATCTTCTCCCTGCTAAATTGCAGATTATTCTTATTTATCTCTCTTCATTCAAATACAAAGTATTATAACCATCGGAAAGGTGGTTAGCAGACTCCACCCAAGAACATTAAAAAAAAGTGCTCCAGATCTTGGTATAGTAAGGACTGTGCAGAAAAGGTGGTTAGCAGGCTCCAACTCCAAGGATAGAAAACAAATCCCACCTGATCCAGCTGCATTCCCCTGCTAACCAACTTGTCTTTAGTCAGGTACTTCCCCAAAGCTGCAGTCCAAACAAGAAATATATTTTTGAAGGGGCAGCAGAGCAGACTTTGAGATTCTGCTAGCAGGGAAGTCACCCACAGTGCATTGGTCCAACTTGGTGTAGAAAGATCTAACAAAAAACGACCCACTATTCCCCCACCTCCACTTTCTGCAATCAGGTTGCCCCACCTAGGGAATGAATTGCCGAATAGACCTGTACTCTCTTCTTTCTCTAAGTTATAAAATTTGATGTTTGTTTACTGATAAAAAAAAATTGCCGAATAGACTGAAGCACATCCACCATCTGCTCCACCTCCCAATCATTCAAATTCCTTCTAAGAGTTGGGGCCCATGTAACAATACCATTGACCAATAGGTAACAATCTTTTACCAAAGTCTCCCTGTTCTAAGCAGCCAAATTAAATATGGGTACACTTCCAACAGAGCTTGTTGTTCAAACCAACTATCCATCCAGTCATCCAGAACTTAACCCTATTACCATTCCCAATCCAGCTCCCTTGCACCAAATTTGACTTAGGCTTGTTAGTGTAGGGGTATTTCTGTCTTTATACTTATGTTGAGGTTGTTGATCTGTAATATTATATTAGAACTAGTGTCCCTCACTTAAGTAAGGGCACATGTGTCTTTTCCATTATGTTAGTAATATAAAACATGTCTGGTCGAATGGGAGAGGTAATTTTTTTCTCTTATTCGAACCAGACTTTTCTTCTCTCCTTTTCTCCTCTTTTCTCTGTCTCTTTCTTTCTCCTTTCTTCTTCTCTTCTTGGCTGTTATCAGACTAACAGAACTCAAGGGCAGGCCGAATCATAATAAGGCTACCCAACTCCTCACTAAATCTCCAGCACCATTTGAAACTCCCTTTTCACTAACTGATTAGTTCTGTGATTATGTCCCTATTAATAATTGATTTTATTTTTTGATGGGAATTACATTGATTTTACTTGGTACAACATCATTCCTAGGAAGTAGGAACATTAGTCATATCCTTCTGCCATGACAACATGATAATAAAGTGAATACATGTGCTTCTATGTTCATTTATTGTGATGCCATTTAAAAACTAATAAAAGATGAAGACTAAAGAAGAAAGTCAAGCTCAAAGAAATTTTATAGGCGTTGAGCATGCGACAATTTGGAAAAGATTACTTATCTCTTATATGGTTTTTCTTTCAAACATTACTTATCTCTTTGTTTGCATAATGTTTACCATGCTAAATTTTTTGTTATTTGTCTGCATAATGTTTTCAATTTTTTGGTATTCTTTGCTATTTTTTTGCAATTCTGCAATTTTTTTGTTATTTTCTGCTACTTCTGGTATTTTCTGCTATTTATCTGCAATTTCCTGCTATTTTCTGCATTTTATGTAATTTTCTGGTATTTTCTACATTTTCTGCTATTTCTGAAAATTTCAGCGTTTCTGCTATTTTTCTGCATTTTTGGTATTTTCTGCTCTTTTTTCTGTATTTTTTGCTACTTTCAGGTATTTTTTGTAATTTTCTGCAATTTTCTTGTATTTTTCGTATTTCTACATTTTACTGTTATTTTCTGAAATTTCTGCAATTTTCTGCATTTTCTATAATTTTCTGCATTTTTTGCAATTTTCTGTTATTTCCTGATATTTTCTATAATTTCTGCTATTTTCCTGCATTTCCTACAATTTTCTGCAATTTTTGTGATGTTTCTGCAATTTTCTGCTTTGTTTTGCTATTTTCTGAATTTTTTTGCTATTTTCTGGTATTTTCTTTAATTTTCTACAATTTTCTGCATTTTTTGTGAATTTTCTGCAATTTTCTATTTTTTTTTCAAATTTCTACTATTTTTCTGCAATTTCTAGTATTTGTTTTGAAAATTTCTGCTATTTTTTGCATTTTCTGCTGTTATCCATAGCAGTGATGTGATATGGTTCCCAAACATCAATATGTACAATTTCCCAAGGAATACTACTACTTTTATTGCTCAAAGAATATGTTGCTCTACAATGCTTTTCAAAGTTCACAACTTTCACATTTTAAACTAGACATTTGAACTGACTCAAACAAATTGGGAAATAAACTCTTCAAAGACCTAAATGACAAATGACCTAACCAATTATGACAAAGCATAACCTGACTCAAACAAATTGCATAGCCAAGTCATGACCAAATAGTTCTCCTGAACCCATTTGGCATATAATGGGTCTTCCTTGGCTGGTTTCTTTACATCCCCCATCACATAGCCTAATTTCCCTCTACTCCTAATGTCCATCATAGTTGACTGAGCTAGGGGTGTCCACGGTTTGGTTAACTCAACCATGGACAATTTTTTGTAAACTGAACCGGTCCTATCGGTTTTTCAATTTCTCCAAACCGATACCACCGGTTAACTGGTCCGTCAGTTTCGGTTTTTTGACCGGTTCAGTTCTTCGGTTTTTTATATTTATAATATATATTATATAAATATATGTATAATATTATATTATAACTAATAAATGATATATAATATATTATAAATATTATAAAAATATATAATATATTTATATATATAATGCATATATATTTATATATAATATATAGAAAATATGTGACATATATTTAAGATATATAAAATATACATATAAATATATATCGGTCGGTTCGGTTAACTGTCAGTTTTTTCTAGGGTAACTGAAAACCGAACCGATTGGTTTGGTTTTTCAATTTTTCATGTACACCCCTAATTATAAATATAATATATGTATATGTTTATATATATAATGCACATATATTTACATATAATATATAGAAAATATGTGACATATATTTAAGATATATATATATATATATATAAAATATACATATAAATATATATACTGGTTGGTTCGGTTAACCGCATTTTCTGGTTTGGTTTTCTCGGTTCGCTTCGGTTTCTCGGTTTTTCATGGGCACCCCTAAACTGAGCCCATTTCAAATAATTTGATCTATCAAATTTGACAGTGGTAATCTGAAAAGTATTTTCAGTCAAGTTTCCAACCCCCAACACACCTTCTCCTTGAGTCTTTAACTCGGTTCCTGTCATCTTTATCAAGAAATTTATCAAAGGAACTCCTTTTTATGCTGAAACAGAAGTAATCATCACTCAGAATTTGTTAACAGCCAACTTAGAATGTTGAAAAAGATCTAGCAAACACCCAGAAATGTTGAAACAGATCTAATAATCTCCCAAAGATTATTATTAGTCAATCTGGAATGCTAAAACAGACTTAACTGTTACCCAGAAACCAATAACAATCAGAATGCTAGGGTTTAACCAACTAGAACTGGTCATATGTTTGAAAAAACCCTAAAAAAAATTCAGAGAAATTAAGAGAAAATCAGCCACTCCTTCCAGATCACTCTAACCAACTTCTGGTTGCTGTCGATCTCAAAAGGAAACTGAAACTTAATCAGAAAGGCCTCGCCGCCACTTCCAATCCTTGTTTGAACCCTAATCTTGAAATTCTTTCCTTCACTCTGATCCTTCCTGATCAGTGGACACTTTCCAATGCTCTACAACCTCTTGAAAAGCTGCTGCACTCAACCAGTGATCTCCAAGAACCAGCCGATGGACTATTCTTGCTAAAACTTCCAACCCTAGGAAGTTCTTGTGCAGTCTGCCTGATTAGACTCACATGAGAAACCCTAGGTTGGTTCTGGTACCAACTTGTGTTATAGAGACTGTAATCAGTCTTACTCTAGATGAGAATTCAACAAGAGAAAGTTCAGAAGAGAGAGAGAGAGAGAGAGAGGAGATTTCAGAAAAAGAGTGTGGGTCAGATAATGATTGTCGCCCCACTCGGCTATTTATATTGACTTAAAACATAGTAAACTTACAATATTGCCCCTACTGTTAACATAAATAAACAGCAGCTAAAAGTAACTGAAATAACTAACTTACTAACACTACTAACATGTTAACAGCAACATAAATAACATGCTAACTAACTCTACACATATTATTGATGGGACTTTAGCAGTTAGGAGATTGGTTGTTTTACATTTGCAAGGTAAGAGAGGTCAATGATTTTTTGCTTAGATACATCATGTAAGTGTCAAAGATGGAAAGGTTTCTGAAAGCGTCCACAGCGAGTAATTCAGTAATTTTTCTTTAGATAGGGCTACGGTATTTATGCGTATAACTTAAATAATGCATGAAAACAGATTTACACATAAGTTTCATCTTACTGTCTATGATATTTAATAGGATTTCTTTTGACAAATTGGCCTGGCTTGTAGAATGTGCACTCATAATAATTATTTCTTGATACATCAAATCTGATGTTCTAGGAGAAATTAGAAGTTGCTTCCTGGAGCAACAACTTGAAAATTGGCGAGGACATTTGTAAACATCCATCGTGATAAAACTCTTTTGATTGTTCAACATAAATGGAGCTAAAGCTCTTGTATGTTTGCTCTAAGTTTTGCCTTTGCCTTTTGTTGTCAGGTTCTCTGGCCTAATGGCACATTTTTTTTGAAATTAGAGAATAATCAAGGTGATATAGAGCTCAATCAGAAACCAGAGCATGGTGCAACCAGTTTGGCTGGCAATAAGTTCTCTAAACCAGGGTCATTTGAACTACAGCTTGAGGCAACTCGCAGAGCTAGTGATGTCAAAAAGATGATCCTTGGTGAGAATCTGAACATTAAACATGAATTTGCTTTTGTTGTTAAGATTTCTGGTAAATGATATTTTCCTTAATGCATCAAGGACATAAAATGATGGTTACTGTATTGTCCATCCTTTTATGCTCGCTTTTTGTTATTTTTGGTCTTAAGTTTGGTTTAACATGACTTGGTCTTGGGAGTTTGTATAATTTTTTTTCGCTCATCTGTTTAGCAAGTTATGAATAAAATCTTTATGTTACAAGAATCTACCATTTTGCATTTTGTGATAGAAAACAAAACACCTCGGGATATGATGTTAATTATGAGAGTTCTCTCCATGCATAACTTGCTGAACCATTAGAACTGTCATGAAATGCTAGAAATTCATGGAATTTCATTAAAATTTGCTATGTTTTTGTTAATTTCTTCAATCATACAAATTCATTGGAAATATATCTACTTGTTCCCCTTTCCCTCCCACGTTGCCCTCCAGTGTCTAGTCTTTGCTTTGGCAAGAAGCTATACTATTACAAGACAAAACTAACAGAAACGTGATGTCAGGTGGAGCTCCAACTGCCTTAGTCAGCTTGATAGGACATAAACAGTATCGACGCTGTGCAAAGGACATTTATTATTTCCTTCAGGTAAACCTTTGATGAAATTGTGCACCATGTTTAATCCTAACCTAAATTTCCATTGTCATATTTTATTCTTTCCTTCATTTTTTACATCAAAGATCATGCTTTGGTTTTGTTGTGTACTACAGTCTACCATCTGTGTTAAGCAACTTGCATATGGGATGTTGGAACTACTGTTCATTTCAGTCTTTCCTGAGTTGCGTGATCTTGTTATGGATGTACATAAGAGCATGCATGTTGAACCAGCATAGGAACCTCAAGAATAAGCGGCAAAACCTTTAGCTTCTAAGAATGTGCTCTCTTTTCTTTTGTAAGTGGTCAGATGCTCAGAGCAGCAAAACATCTACAATTATGATGATACTCGTGCTTGGGTTATCCTATTTTGTACATTCTGAAATGGGGGGGAAGTTCGGAATCTTCTTGCTTGATGACTGAAATTCTTTTTTGAGCGTTGGGGAGGTGCCCTGTATCTCTCTAATTCAAACTGTACAGATTGTATATTTAGAGTCTGTATAGTTCATAGTGGTCTATAACCACTTCAACCAACACACGCAATCATTCTTTAGCTGAGGCTTTTTACACTGGAATTCAATTACGTAATTAAAGGTTTTCTTTGGTTTTTGACCTGTAATGCATGTAGAACTCTGGCTTTTCATAATTATTCTGAACCGATATTTTGTTTGTCCCATCTACAGCAATATTTCAAGTCACCCATTGTTTCCTTGACCGCTTCTAAATGGTACCTACTTTATCACATTATCTGTAGAGTTGGTTAGTTGATTGAGCATGCTAAGCATTCATTTTTAAATTTTTGTGGGAACTTGTTCCCTTGATAAGAATGATAACCATATAAATTGACGAGGCCCTCGTGCTTATGACGATTTTGCTTTATTGTAAACACAATGGGTGGTTGGTTTTGTTTTGAAATCCTTCAGAGTTTGGGAATTGGGATGCACATACAGTCTGGGTGTTTTGTCCGCATGCACCCGGCTTTTGCATTTCTGTGATTTGTTAGCAACGATTAATAAATTCTCTCTGGTTTCAATTAGCAAAAAGCAACAATCGAAGATAATCAGATTTATACAGACTGAAATTTGGTACACGAGAAGATATTGCATATTGGCATGAAGCGTACTGATCCACCGTGTCTATAGCACGATTACACGATGGAGATTAAGGTATCTGCTCTTTAAAAATGGGCTGTAACTTGTATAGAAAACTAGACTTAGCTAAGGATGTCAATGGGTTGGGTTAAACGGTAAATGATTCTTTGATGTGAGCCAGGTTTGGGTTTTGGTTGACCTGCCCTGTCAGGTCATGATACCCTTGCTAATATTTTTGTAACTTTTTGACTTCTAACTCCATATTCTTAAAATTTAGGATTTTTTTATAAAACAAATTTATAACTCCATATTCTTTTTTTTTTAAATGAAAAAATGATACTTATGAATCTATAAAACAAATTTCTAACTTAAATTAATGGCTTTTAGGTTTTCAAAATGTGTTAAAAATATAATTGGAATGCTACAGGTCAGGTTGGTTCGGTATCAGATTAGACCCTATAGGGTTAGGGATGGGTTCAAAAGTTGTGTATTTTTGAGTTGGATTGGGTCAGGTTCAAATTGAGACATTGGAGGGTTGGGTTAGGGATGAGGCAAACCCGTGTCGAACCCAACATATTGAAATATATAGGAGGGACATTCCTGAGGGTTCACATCTGCACCCCATAAGTGCCTGAGAGATGCTCCCTATTCACGGTTGGGATGTGCTGTGGGGTGCAGATGTGAATTCCATTCCTGATGTCAGGTTGGATGCCATGTGCACAGACTTTTTGCTTGGATTCCTACAACCAACCAAAGAAGTTAACGAGCCTGTTGGCACCTTCCAAAAGTTAGGCAAATTCTATATAACTTAATTCAGATTTTATCCTCACAAAATCCGTTCTATGCATTCCATTCTCACAGTTCTTGCAGTCTTGCATAGTAACATTTTTGTACTTGTGTTAATTTTTGGTAAGTGTGTTTTTATCGGAAGATATTACTGCTAATTCTTATAACTTTTACTTACAAGTATTTGTTGACAAGTCCAAAGGGTCTCTTACATGATCAACGGATCAGATCTGCCGCATCATCCATCCACATCACAAAAGACAGGATAGATCTTGTAGGAAACTACCATAAAGTAGGAAGCATTTTCCAATAGATGCCATGTCATTGGTTTTGTATTGGGTCAGAGAAAGAGTCACGGTTGAACTGGAACGAACCAAAACCTGTCACAAAAACCTGTCCCAACGATTTCTCGATTCACTGACCAATCCTGCCTTTTTTAACTTTAGGGTAAAATACAAAAAACTCACCTAAGTTTTCTGATAAACATAAAATCCTCCCCTACGTTTTCACTTTAACAAAATCCTGCCCTGTAGTTTTGAAAAACCATGCACTTACCTCCCTTCCCCCATCGTCCCATAAGGAAAACGCTGATTTAATGTGTTTATTTTTTAAATACCTATTTTGCCGTTATATCTATTAATTAAGATATTAAAATATTCGCAGATTAGTCATCTTCTTCCCCCAAGAACTAAGAACTAGAGGCAGCAAAGACAACCTAATCGTTCATCCCTCCATCATTTCAATTCCCCCCCCCCCCTCTCTCTCTCTCCTATCTATAAATTAATAATTATTATATATATAACTAATTTTATACACAAAATTCATATAAAATTAAAATTTCAAGTTTTTTGTCAATTTTTTTTTAAATAAATAGTTTTGGTTCGATACACGGCCCGACCTAGCCCAAGACTCGACCCACGAGCCAGCTTGGCCTGTGACACAACACAGGCCTGGGCCGTGGGCCATGCCGGGCCAACCCTCAAAATTTTCACCAGGGAGGGCGGCACGGCATGACCCACACTTTGCAGGGGCCATGCCATGCCGGCCCGGCCCAGCCCACTTTACACCTCTATTCTTGTCCAACCACTTCGTCTTCCCTACTATGTCAAATATCCCCACCTTTTTCTCTCTCTCTAAACTCTACCCTACTCTTTGCCATTTCCATCACAGACCCATGGTAACATACTTCTTCCCATTTTTGGTATGCTATAAATTTTCGTCACTCCATGGAAGTATATAAAAATATTCGGCGCTATCCTTCTCTATCAAACATTTCCCTCAAATCTTCTACAAAACCCCATTTTTTAACTTTTTATCATCTTACAATGTTTGTGTCATGGCTTAAATCCAAATTTCTTTGTTAGAAATCAGAACAGAGCACGTCATGAACTGCAAAAAAATACTGAAGTTTGCCTCAAGTCCTCTAGTTGTAGCCTACTATTTATTTTTTGCAGAAATTGAAGTTCTTGCACATCTTTTTCTCTGTTTGTTACTAGGTAATGACAATATGAGAGGTGAGAAAGAGATCTCATGCTCAGATACCTACTTGTTATAATCTCTGCAATTCCAAATTTGGTTGGATTTTTTTTTCTTCTTTTTGCCTTTATCCTGCTCCTCACTACTTTTACATGAAATTTCAGGTCTTGGGTTTTGGAAATGGCAACCGTAGAGAAGCCTCACTCCCATGTTGATTTAGAAGAAGGAGGTCATCGTCATTTTGTTGTTGCAAGCAACGCAAAAAGAGTGAGGGAAGCATCTGCTTCTCCGTTCTACTACCAACTACCAGTGGGTCATATGATGAGCATAGGTTCTCCAACAGGTTTGATCTTGAGATTGGGGGACTTTGGGCCACCGCCAGAATTCTTCGACGTTAAATTGTTCAGTCGAGGTAGATTTGTAAAGTGGTGTACTGGAAATTAGGTGCATTTGGTTAGAGTGGACAAGGATTGCAAGGTTTGTCTTTTGAGAATGAAGAGAACTAATGAGGAATTTGAAATTCCCATTGAATTGGGCTATTCTTGCAAGGATGATTTAGCTACCGCTCATAATAAATGCACCGATGCTTGGTTCAACATAAGGGAAATAAGTAAAAACTCAAGGGAGGGAGTTGAAAAGATGTAGGGATAAATTGTGAGGTTGTCTTAGGTGGCATTTGATAACACTTTTTTAAGACGTCTGAAGTCTGGAATATCTACTTTTCAGATGCAATGCTTATTTGGTGTTGCACCTAAAATATGATTTGAAAAGTTTTTTTAGATCTAAAATTGAAAGATCTAGGCCCGTCACCTAATGCCCTCAAACGTGTTTCATGGGGCCTAAAGTCAAAATTACTCCTATCCCATTCTCTCTCTCTCTCTCTCTCTCTCTCTCTCTCACAGTAGTGGTGCTTGCTGTCAAGAGGGTGAGGGATCAATAATTAATTATAAATTATTTTTACTAATTATTAATTATTAATTATTTTAACTTTTATTAATTATTAAACATTAATTATTTTTTATTAATATTACTTGTGTTATTTATTAATTATTATTTATTAATATTTTTTAATTATTTCATTAATTTTAAAAAAATATTTTTATTTTTATTTTTGTAAATTATTAATTAGTTTAATATTTTTATAGTCATTAATTATTTTTTTAATTTGAATAGTTTCATTTATTAATTATTAATTTATTATTTATTGTTTGTATTGTTTCAATATTATTTTGAAGTTGAAAATTATTTTTTTATGAGATAATTCAAATTGAACTCAACATTTCCAAATAGTTTGTTTTAGGGATAAAATAGTAAAATCAATAAACTTCATATGATAAAGGGTTGATCCAATACAAACAAATTTATTGATTTGGAAAAGAAGATGAATAGTATCTTTATAACTTTTTAGACACAAATAATATCTTTTTAACTTTTCAGATTTATCAAACACCACCTTAGTTTTTGGAGAAGAAGATGAATAGTATTTTGAGATTTTTTAATGAATTTATATCTGAATTAATAGATATAAGGGCAGAATAGGACAAGGGAGGTAAATGCATGATTTTTCAAAACTAAAGGGTAGGATTTTATTATTGTCAGAAAACTTGGGGGGAGATTTTTATATTTTACCCTTAACTTTAAAAGGATCCACCGATCCAGCTCCAGCGGTGTGGATTCACAGATCACAGTAGCCTAGGCGCCTAGCCAAGTTTCCCGCCATGCCATGGTATGGACTATTGACCATTGATTGGTGATCTCTTTGCATTTGGCAATTGGCACTTGGCAGTCGCTAATGACCGTCGATTGGAAAATTGAGTGGGTTGATAGTGTCGTATTGGGGTTGGTTTTTGTAGGTACGCTGCACAGAATTATTGACAACAAGGCGTGCGACTCTTTTTCTTCTTCCGTCTTTTCTTCAGTTGACCGTTGGAGCGAAGAGAGTCTCCTTGGACGCGAAACAATGGCGACTCCGAGGAAGAGAGCTCGAACCCTAGAAACCCCGGCAAACAGGAAACAAGTCAACAATGAAGAAATCCAAACCCCAAGGGCCAATGAAGTTTCTGGATACGAGCAGTTCAGAGATCAAAGGATCAAAGAAAATATGCAGAGAATGCAGAAACTCGGGATTATTGATCTCTCGCTAAAGCTCAAGGCAGAACTTCCTCCCAAGCGCACTCCGAGAAACCTGTCTGAAAGGAAAACGCCTCAGCGTTCGCCACTACCCTCTTCTGAACCCCCAAGACGTTCTTCCAGGTACTCATCTTCCGGCATTTCACCGTTCCAAGTTGAGCCTCTCGTTGCGTGGAGATGGTTGTCTGCTGTTTTTCTTCTCTAATGTGTTTTTAATCCTAATTTATTTTTTTTAACTTTAGTGCTTTTCTTTTGATTAAGCTTTTATATTATTTTGACAAATGACTAAGCTTTTATATTATTTTTGGTTTTATTGGTTAATCAAGGTTACAGAATGTGACCCCAGTCAGCTACACCGAACTGCGCGTACCCAGAAAGGAGAAACTGGAGAAAGATGAAGAGCCTCGTATAGGAGAAGGCTCAAAGCCTGAGATTTATACCGAGGAACACGACAAACTGTTAGGTACGTGCGAGACGAGTTGGACTCTCTTTGTCGATGGATATGGCAAGGACGGGAAGCGAGTATATGATCCTGTGAAGGGGAAGACCTGTCACCAGTGTAGGCAAGTCCCCCCCCCTGCTGTGAATACACGATTTTATTATTGTTTTTTTTTTTTCTTGCGTTTCTTTTTATTTGAAACCTGGATATCAAATCTGCTTATCTGAGCTGTGGTTGTATGGACAACCATTTTATCAACTACTTTTCTTAATGCACATGGGAAACTTTTAATTGGGTGTTGAATAGTAACTTGTTTCTGTGCATTTGGAAAAGTTAGAACGTCATTGACGAAAAACTAAAATATGTAGTAGAACTGTAGAAGGTTAAAAAAATGCTGACCTTTGGCAAGGGCAAAAGGTCAAATGAAACTCTGGAGATTTGATGTTCATGATTTCATGTAAAATTTAAACTAACTTTCGTGCTTTGCTTTACTTGAAAATGTTTGAGTGGTCTTACCCTTCATCCTAAATCCAAATTAACTACATGAGTTTGTGATTGGTTTGGAGGTAGTAAATAAGGTGTATCTGTTATGGGTTTCTTTTTAATTGGATTGTTATAGAGCGGTTATCTTTATCGGTAGCCTGGTTTTCCCTCCTTGCTTCTTCCCCAGATTGGATTTGCATCATAATTAGGCAGACTTTATTCATATTTCTCTCTTTGCATCTCACTGATGTGTCTCATGATTTTTTGTTTACTGTGTGCATGTTGGTTCACATGACTTGGAATCTACAGCTTTATCAACACAATTTTCATGTATTGGATTAACCCCAAATATGGAGACAATTACAAAGTCAAATTTGTAATAATGAAAATACAAAGGGATGTGGCTCTTTGATTCTGTTCAGTAACATGAGCAACCTCTGATTAATGGCCAAACATAAGGCCCTCAGGCCCTCAGACATGCTTTTCATGCTTCTTGAATTTTTGGCGTAGATTTTCTATTTTTCTTTGCTCCAAACTTCATGCTTGATTGACTATGAAGACGATTTAGAATGCTTCTCTAAGAAAGGGCCTTGGTAGTGACTTAATCTTTCTCTAGAATATATCCATCTAGTTCTCTTCTCCCATACTTTGAAGCAAGCTTGCTGATATCTCCAGATGCCCCCTAGGCACCCATATTATAGCTTGGGTTGTGGCTACCACCTCATCCCTTTTGCTAACCAAATCCATATAAGTGGGTATTAGTCTTAGCTTGTGTACTGCCCCTATCTTTGGGAAGTAATTTGCTTTGTGATGGGATTCACCTTTATTGCATTGAGGCATGGGCCCAACTGAACTTGATACAATTGGAATTTTGGGTTGTGGGCCTAACCATTAAGACTCATATTCATGACCAACAGAGGTCCACTTTGGAGGCCTATTTTGTCAAACCAGGCCCAAATGATGGCAAATCATGCCTTTTTTTATGCCTACAAGTTTCTTTGTATTATGTTACCTGTGCACCAAACCTCTAAAGATCATCATTTTGTCCTTGAGCACTGTTACTTGTTGTTCCAATTTTTTAGGACACTAATGCTTCTTGTTGATTAGTTATGCCACTATTTAATCTTAAATTACAGATCTGGGCCTGCATTTCATACCATGTTTATGTTTAAATAATTTCTCAAAGTCATGGTATTCCTTTATGTTCTTAAGATCTATTACTGTTATTGCTATTTCTGTTTCCACACCTTGGGAGTTTGTTCTGATGGGCTTGAAGCAATAAAAGCTTATTATTACCTTGGGAGATAATTTGTCATCAGCATCTTCATCTTCTGGCTTTTATGATTTAAAATTCACATACAAGAAAAGAAATACTGAAAAAATTAGGCACTTAGAAAATACAGCCTGACTATAAGACAATTTAGAAGCTGATGTTCAGATATCTTATGACTGGCTAAGCCTCTCGGAGATCTATATCAGGTGATTGTTTACATACTCTTGAAGATTCTCTTTGCAAGATGAGGGTTTTGATTTCTAGATACTCAGGCAGGCTTTTGAGCAAAAGGTATTCTAGCCACAAAGTAGGAATTTGTGGTCCATATATTCTGGAAGAACTTCGAGCAACTTTTGGCTACCACCTTTGTGATGTAACTGTGGCAACTATAATATCATACTTATACATCTCTTTGTTCATGTCCTTGCACTTACTCAATTCCCCATTTTACTTTCTGATTACAACATCCTTGGGCGTTGATTCTAATTCAATATGCATAGTGTAACTGTGGAAGTACTAAACTATACTTGTCTAATACATGCTAAGTTACTTCCTTATACCAAGAATATCCTAACTTGGAAACATTCTTTACATCTTACATACTCTATACTCAGGGATTGACTCAATTTCTTGCAGGCAGAAAACTCTTGGTCTTCGTACCCATTGCAGTAAATGCAACCTTGTCCAAGGACAGTTTTGTGGGGATTGTTTATACATGAGGTAAATATTACAACATTCTTGTCTTCCCATAATTTTTCATACAACTTTTTGCTTTTCTTATCTTTTACTCCTATTGTTGTACACCTAAAATACACATGACCTTGAGTAATTTTATTTTAATGACTTTATTAAAATTGTGTATTAAACTTAGGAGTAGTACAAATATTTGAAACTTACACTTAAGTTCTCATTTCTCATGTGCCTTGTCAAAAATGATGAAGGCATCACTTACAAGAGTCCAACTAGTGCTACTAATGATAGAAGTAGGTTTTCTATTAGTAGGAACATCAGACAAGCAGAACTCATTTTCCCCTACCTGTGTCTTAGGTTGTGGCATATGGGCAGGCATTAGGTGGTGTGGTATACAAGGGTTAGTTAGTTGTGTTTGATGAAATCAATTACCTGTGGTCACATGAACATGGAATCCTGTTCTATTAACCTTTTATAAACAACAATAATATGTTATGGGCAATGCACTTACCATGAATGTAGGAATATAGTGTAGTACATTCTACCATAAATATGATTTCTATGTAGGTAAAAGCATTAAAGTGGTGAAAAAAGAGAAGCAACCTATATACCAATCTAACATCTTCACTTCAACAACATAAAATGACAAGTTTAAAGCACACAATAATAATAAAAGTATGAAGGAGAAAAGATACATATAATTTGACAAAAATCATAGGGGCTATTCCTTGGTGTAATGGTAAAACCTTGGGATGACAAGCATGAGAATGTTGGTTCAAGTCTGAAAGCAGTTGCTTTGTTGGGGGAAAAAACTGCCAGAGGTTAGGTCTGTATCCAGTCTACCCTTCCCAAGCCCAGATAGCTGGGTCTAATGTTGGGCAAATATTATGGGAAAAGAGGGAGAATATTTATTTTTAGGAAGGAGATATGAAACACATATTCTGGCCTTCTTATAAATGTGAAATTGTGTTTCCTTTTCTTATAAATAGAAATTGCTTTATGGAGAAGCAGGATATTAATGCTGAGGATCATAAACAGGACAAAAAGAACTTGGGGGAAGAGTGTAAGCACAAGATGTGATGTTTGCCTCCTCGTACCCTACTACCCTCTCTAGCATGCTTTATTGCTAGTCAATTTGGTTCCCCTAGTTGATGCAGTGATTAGTTGGTGCCTAGCACTGACTAGTGAACCGCAAAAAAAGATTTTTTTTTTGGTCTTAGAAAAAAGATGTGTTCTTGAGTTAAGATATTGATGTATTCTCATATACAAGGAAATAATAACTCTAAATACACAAAATAAAGGAATGATGTACAACACTAAGTTTATAATCTTTATTTTGAAAAACAAAAGAAAGGTTGGGAAGACTAAGGGGCTATTTGTTTAGGCTGCAGCTGGGATTTTGAAAGCCATAAAGATTAAGAAAAAAGTTCTTTTGTGGTTTGTAAGATGTTCTTTGAAAGCCACAACTCAATAGAAATTGAAATTCAAAAAAGACAAGAAATAGGAATTTCCAATTTCTTTCTTTCAGCTTCCTTTCTAAAAACCCACAATTCTTTCCATCTCATCTGGCTGTTATTTATAGGGCAACTAGAAGAGACCTTGTGATAATTGTCCATCTTTGTGAGGCCAAAGACAAGAATTTGGAGAACAAAGTTACCAAAATACTTTCCAAGCTTTATCTTATTTTTTTGGAAGCCTAAAAGAACTTTTGCGTTTTTAGGCTTTGAAAAGCCTTCTTAGAAAGCCCAACCAAATACCATCTTAAGACAGGGAGCTATAAGTCTTTTCTTATAAAGAAAGTGGCCCTTGTTTGTGGCAACTTCATGCCAATAAACTATTGATTGGAAGAAGATCTAAAATAACTCCTTCGATGTCTTTTATGTTTTGTGTTTTATCTCTATTTTATATACCACCATCCAACCATATGCCACCACATAAAGCTTATGTGATATCATTCTAAGTAATTAGATATAAAGACAAACAAATAAAGGTTTAAACTATCTTATTTATCCAAAAAAAGGTTTACACTATCTTTGTGGTTTAGTGTGTGGTAAACTATCTTCCCTTTTTCTTGCTTTCATTGTGCCCAATTCTGACTGGAATTCAAATACTCTATAGAAAGGAAGATAAGAGACTTCTTATGGAGAGGTTGGAGGGATGAGAAGAAAAAATATAATTTGGTCAGCTGGAATAAGATATACAAACCCAAACACCAAGGAGGATTGGGTGTGCAAAGAGTGAAGAATGTTAATATAGCTGCTCTATTGGAAAAATGGTTTTGGAGATTTGGAGAGAATCAAGGAGGGCTGTGGAAAAGGGTGTGGGGGCTAAGTATGGTTATAGACACTCAGTATGGGAACCAGGGGTGCCAAACCAATCTTATGGATGTTCTGTTTGGAAAGGTATCGGGAAAGCCTATGATCCTTTCACAAAGGGAATATGGTTCAAGGTGGGAAGATAGATACCGGGTAAAATTTTGGAAGGATAGCTGATGTGAGAACAGACCTCTGAAGGAAGTTTATCCTGCCCTCTTTGAGGTGGTCACAGATAAAGAAGCTTTGGTGCGAGACTACATGCAGATGCAGAAGAAATTTAAATGATTGGGAGGTAGAGGCAATGGTGGAGTTGTTGTATGAACTGTTAGTACTCAAGTGGACATTGGGAGAAATGACAAAAGAATTTGGGAGTGGGGCAAGTCAAATTCATGATTAAGTATTTTTTCAATTCAATTTCCAGGTCAAAGGAGCAGCTGATTTCAGTGAAGATTGTTTGGTGTAAGAATCTACCTACTCTCCACAAACTGTGTTTTATGCGAGGAGAAAAATGAATCAGTTGAAGGACAACCTCCAATTGCTTCAACATCAGATCCCAGATGACCACCCTCAGCACTACATGACTCGATCCGCTAAGGAATCAAAGCAAGTCCACAAATAAATGAAGATATATATGAGGAGTCTGCATCATCAACGTCAAGCCACCCAAGTGTCACGAAAAGTGATGGAATAAGTAGTTAATTGTTCATAGCTTTTATTTTGGTTTGCTTGTTTCTCTGGATGGATGAGACTCATGAGAGGGAAGGTCCATCGGTCTGTGTGGCAGGGTTTTCACATGAGAACAGTGCTGAGGGTTGGTACTGTTGATAGGAGATCCACATGGGGAGAGGGACAGGAGAGGAGACCTTGCTCTGCTCTAGCTCGTCTGGAGAGAAGACTTCAGGTTTTATGTTTTATATATAATTATTATTGTATTTTTGTAAAGCTTTGGACTGCTGGGGGAATAAGAAAAAATGCTATAGTTTTTCTTTGTCTATGGAAGCAAGAAGAACATGGTTAGGGTCTGAGTGAGCAGTTGAGTCATACTGCGCGTTCAATTATTTTGATGGAGATGGCTAGCTAGCTAAGTGGGTCTTTTTCCTTGTTTTCGAAGGACTGATCATGACTTGAATGTGGCTGCACTGGTGATACTCTTCTTGGATTCATGGTGTGATTTATTTTCTGTTCCAATTATGAGTTGACAAGACCAAGTCATCAAGATCCATATCTACTATTACTTTCCTTCAAACAATTATCCTTGGTCTTTGTTTTCACATGGATCTCTCTCTCTCTCTCTCTCTCTCTCTAAGCTCAAATTTAACATGAAGCTTCTATGGTTGCATGTGCCCAACCTTATAACTGTTACAGTTGCAGATTCTCCTATGAGATTTGGTGCAGGAACATGGCTCCTGCAGCGGTTTTTTGTTGCTTATGGCAGGAGAGAAATGCAAGGATCTTCAAGAGCAAAAACTCCATAGAAACAGTTTTTCAGAAAATCTTGGAGAAAATATTTTGGGGAACCCTCTTTTTTGGGGTACAGCCCTCGAGATAATACTGCCGTTTTCCTTATTCATCTGTATCTATATATGGACATCCTAGACCATTAATTACATGGTTTGAATCATTTAGGGGCTATTTGACCATCATCATCATCCATGCCTTATCCCAACTATATGGAGTCAGCTACAATGAATCCTGTTTCGCCAATCCGTTCTATTTAAAGCCACTCGGGGGCTATTTGATAACAGCTGAAATTGCTGAAATGAACCTGTTGCTTTGTCTTTTAGTGGATAATGATTCAACAATAAAATATTCAAGGGTATAGTAGTCTACCTAACTACAGTTTCAGCCATTAAGGAGCCCACAACCTCCTTGAAAACTTATTCACTATAGACAAAGCAATAAGATTTTCAGTTCAGCCACTTTTGGGTGCAGTGGTGTCTGTATCCTATCATAGGTATATGGTAGGTGGATAAAATGCCTGTACCCTGACATTTGAATATTCAGCAAGTATTTTTATGGCACTAGATAGAGAGCCCCTATCAGGTGGACCATTGCAACAGTTTCAGTTAATGAATGGTTAATGGGCTTACAATTTAAAAAGTGAACCTCTTTTGTCTGAGTTAATCAATGTTCTGTTTGTTTGTTCCTCTCTGTGAAGATATGGGGAGAATGTAATAGAAGCAAATCAGAATCCCAATTGGATTTGCCCTGTCTGTCGAGGAATTTGCAACTGCAGCTTGTGTCGACTGGCAAAAGGATGGATTCCCACTGGAAGTCTCTATAGGAAAGTAAGTTCTAACTCCAGTAAAGATAGATGCCTTCTTATGCTAAACATATCCATGAAGGTAGGATGCAAACAATACTTATTGAAGGTATACCTTCCAGGTCTCAAGACTTGGCTTCAAGTCAGTTGCACATTATCTTATTCAGACTCGACGATCTCAGCAAAACTCCAATGACAACAACTCAAGTTCAGAACACCAAGTTTCTGCAAAGAGGTCAATTGCCTTTGGTGATACAGAAGAACTTAACAATCTTAACAATCATAAGGAATCTCCCGACTCGGATGATGGTCCTCATGAGTGCTCAAATCCTCAACCTGAAGATAAAAGTGATGGACGGAAGGGGGAGAAAAATGAATTTACAGGTTTGGCTTGTAAGCATGATACTGACAATGTTACATCAGAGAACAATTCAGAAACTGCTATTATTTCCAAGCTAGGCCCATACAGTATTGCTGGAAATTTCAAGCAAGGACTTAACAATGATGGCAGCTATGACGATGGTAGCTCCAACCTTATGTTTGAAGACAATAGAATTGCTGGTGAGTTGAAAGGGGACAAAGAGGACCACAGTTTGGAATCTTTGGATGATGGTATCAGTAATATCTCTGGAAATGTGAAGCAGGGGCTTAGCAAAGATGGCAGCCATGATGATGGTAGCTCTGACACTATGTTTGAAGACAACAAAGGTGCTGATGAGTTCAAAGGGGATAAAGAGGATCACAATTTGGAAAATATCAGTAATATCACTGGAAATGTGAAGCAGGAGCTTAGCAATAATCGCAGCCATGATGATGGTATCTCTGATTCTGTGTTCAGAGAGAACAAAGGTGCTGATGATTTCGAAGGGAACAAAGAAGATCACAATTTGGACAGTATTAGCCATATTGCAGCAGAAACTCACCCTACACCTAAAAGGAAATCTGCTTTTGCTGCCGAACTTATCCCAGATAGCATTGCTGGAAGGTTGAGGCAAAGGCGCAACAAATCTTAAAGGTGGATGGATGTCTCAAATGTTAATGCACAACTGGTTTAGTACAGGAGCGCTGGAGGAATTTTGTTACTTGTTGATTGTTCTGATGGAATTTTAATGGGTGTAATGCACTTTCTTTGTTACAAGATTGTTAACTTTTACATGCAAGATCAAGGGACATTTAAGATCGTTCCTTTTTGTTATATTGAACATCAAAATGATGTGCATTTTTCATGTATTCATGCATCCCAAACCTTTTCAGTGAGTAAACCAAGGCGTATCACATAGTGCTGTTTGTTCATTCTTTCCTCCGCGCTTGTGGGATCAAACAAGAACCTGTAAAAATATCAAGAAGCTCAGGTTGCGAATCATGGATAGTTAGAACATGATAACTAGTTCTGAATTATCGAAGGGATCATGAGTCCAAGCAAAAGGCCATAGTTGTAGTGTCTCAGCTCAATTCACGGGCAAATGGGCCACCATCAACCGGTCATGGCACATCGATTCCATGAAGCCATGCAAAATGGGGTTTACCGTTTACCCCATTATAGAAACTGACCCTTCAAAAGATTTCAGTGGGTCACATCAGATGGGCACAAATCTACAAGAGGTGTCCCCTTGGGATGCCAAAGGGGCGGGTTTGGGGTGGTTTTGTAAATTTTAGATCCTTTCCAAACCTCTTGATCTATATCCTCCCAAAACCCACATGTATATCAGCCCCCCAAAAGATTCCCCCCCCCCCTAATGTTCCACAGCACATCCCCGCCGTGTATTGAGAACATCTTCTGATGATGACATCATCATTTCTGATATTATCATCGGGAGGTGCTCTCAATACATGGCGGGAATGTGCTATGGGACGTTATAGGGGGCTGACTCATTTGAAGGTGGGGTGGGTCAAATCTAGAATCTGTATCTAATTTCTTGTCATTTCTTGTTATATATAAACAATAAACAAGTAAAATAACATTTTTTATTATCAATTATTTTTCACGTGATATTCTTACAAGTTATGACTACAATTTAATTATAAGCATTAGTAAATTAGTAATATTTTAGTAAATTCAATTTATCGGTCAGAGAGTTTTGGGTTTAACCTAAATACCATATCCTATCATAGTAAATTCTTGAAACCTATTCTCACCCTAAATACCATATCCTACCATAATAGGGATCGATAGCAGCTGGGAATTCAAATTTATTCCTCACAGAGTGTGCCTCACAGCAACCTGATAGTGCATTGCAGCTATGCATTGAAAACATCTTCCTATAAACAATAACTAAGGGATAGGGTGTAAAGTACCATTCCTTGCCCTGTATGCTGGATGATACAGATGGCTTGTAGATGCTCTTTTATGTGTACATGATATATTAATTGCCATAGCAATTGAATTGAAAAGTCTACTTATAATATTCTAATCGAAGAGACAATGAGTCATGTTCGTCGAGGACTTATGCACCTAATGTGCATTATCGATGTGTAAATTGACATAAATAACCCTCAGCTTTAATAGCATTTGCTATGCTGCCAAAGGAAGCTTCCACTAAACTACTGATTGTGTTGTTAGCTGAAGAAACGCAATTCAAAAGAAAGAAAAAGGAGAGGTCTTGATCCCTCTGTGTCTCTGCCCTCACTAGCTTCCTCAGAATATCTTTTTCTAAAAAAAAAGAAACAAAAAATGGGAGAATAACGGTTCAACCCAGGGTCAGAATTACAGGCCCAAAGTACTGTTGGGGTAGGTGTCAGTTTGGAATTGATGTCAATTCATGTGTGGGCGCTGATGCATAGAGTGTGGATTGTTAACATTTTGAATGTTTATAGCTCTGCAGTGAAAATCAGAAATCTGCATTGAATCTATCCATACTTTTCCCAAAAAATTTGAATATTAATAGATTTTTGACAAACTTGAAATTAAAATCACATCATTGGAAAAATTAAAGAAGTACCCAAAGCAGAAATGGTTAAAAAGGAAATATGCTTATTATACCCAAAATATACTTTTACCCGCACCTTAGATTTTGGAGAAAGCTCAAATCAGTTGTTTTTACTGATTTTGAGTCTTTTGACCCCATTGATGCATTGTTAATTAGGTAAAGTATGGACAGGCCTAATACAGATTTCTGAATTTCATTGTAGAGTTATAAACATTCAAAATATCAAAAATTCCATTTGATACACCAATACCTATTATGAATTGGCATTAATTCCTATTTGACACCTATACTTTGGATCTAAAAATTCTGACACTGGGCTGAACCGTCTTATCATTTGGTTTTAAACACAAATTATTTTTATAGACCCTTTTTTCAATCGCATCACTTTTTGACAACATTGCTCTGAAACTAGAGCAACGGGCTGAATTGGTTAAACAAAATGCCAGCATGAATCAAATCCCATTGATCAAGTCAACCTGATCTGTTGAGAAAGCAGGTGGGTCAGCTTTGTCCTTGATGAAAACTTGAGAGATTCATGTTCGTTGGTATTTTAGTTTGGTTGAATCAGGTTGGACTGAAACGACCAACTCATTCCAACCTCATATTAGCAAATAGCAATTGGCTTTACGGTACACCAACAGAGAAAAGAAAGAAGCGTGATGATTGAACCCACTGCCTCCCCTTAATTACCTATATATCATGCTATCTACTGATGTCGATGTTACGCGAGATGATTTGCTAATGCCTTAAAAAGGCAAATTTCATTAATAAATGCTTGGAATCCAGCTAAGTTGGACGAGATCATGAATTTGACTATCGGTATCACATTGCATACACAAAGTCGATTAGGAGGAGACTTGTAAGGATATGTGGGAAAACTGTAAAAAGATTAAGATTTAGGCAATTAGGAAACATGTGTGTAGCCCTTACAAACACCCCAAATTAATCAGTTCTGTGAAAGACAAATGTATCAGCCTTAAGAATCACTTCTATAATATAGATCCAAAACTGAACCAATTATTAATCAGGATAATCAGGTTCGACCCAATTATATTAGATATCTATAATTACATTTGATAATAACAACTTAGAACTTTAACTTTAATATAACAATAATTACAAAAAATAAAGAGACCTCTATATATTATTAAAGGAAAATTCCCGATCAGAGTACCCTGTATTTTGATTCGAGTTATAATTTTGTTCTCAAACTCTAAAATGTGACAATCCAGTACCTGAATTTTCAAAATATAACAATCTAATACCCGGACTTTCAAAATGTGACAATCCAGTACCTGCCGTTAACCAGTCCGTTATTTAGCCGTTAAGTGGCATTTGAAAAGTCAAAGATGTCCTTCAAATGCCATCTAAATCTCTTTATCAACCATCCAAACATTGGCAAAAAATTGAACAATCTCAAATCCTAGCCTCTTCTATTCAAAAAAGTTGGTGATTGTTTAGAAGAATCTAGAATTTGTAACTGTTCATTTTATTGTCAATATTTGGATGGTTGATAAAGAGAATTAGATGGCATTCTTAAGGAATTTTTTACTTTTCAAATGTCATTTAATGGCTGATTAACAGACTGGTTAACTGCATGTATTGGATTGTCACATTTTGAAAATCCGGGTACTAGATTGTCACATTTTGAAAGTTTGAGTACTGAATTGTCGTATTTTAAAGTTTGGTGATCAAATTGTCACTCGAACCAAAGTACAGGATACTGATTAGGAATCTTCCCTATTATTAACTATATAATACTCAATTATTTAATTGCATAAACCACATGACCAGAACCAACATAATTAAGCAGTTTGGCTGGTTTGGTTCAATCAAATTAGGCTTCATCAAGGAGGTGTTGCAAAGACTATACAACCTGCCATATAGAGGGATGATGATTGCTGATTCCTGAAAAAAAATGAAATGATCAAAAATACCCCCACAAGATGCATTATCTGAATAAATTAAACAAAAAAGAATATAGACAATTGCACTTAACTGAAAAAATAGATTCCTGAAAAACAAACAGGGCCTTAACTATGATAAAACTGTATTTTTATTCATTGTGGGGAAGAATCATAGTTACAATGAACTGTTAGATAACATGCTGAAAAGAGGTTTAGCGGCATGGATTATTTCTTGATTTTAGTTTTATTTCTTATTTGAGTGCCCATATATTTGAGTTCGGATCTCCTGCCCATGAGAACCCACAACACACTATCGATGTATTGGGTGTTCCTACTTTGTAATAATGTACCAGTCTGTAACACTATAGTGATGAGCTGTGATAAGCCCGGAGATGAATGAATATATATCAGGAGCCAAAACTTACGGATGCCAATTGCCTCAATTGGCTGGTTAGTTATCTATCACTAGAAAAAAAAAAAGAACATCCGGCTATTTTATTCAGGAATGGCCGGGTCCGGATCATCTACCAACAAAACACCTTCAACTCTCTACCAATATAATTTTACACTGTACATTTCATATATGACAAGTCCTACTTTTATGATGGGTCCCAATCTCATAACGAGATGTATGGTGCTAGATCAACATCTCAACCCCCTTACAGAATGTCCACACACTATCTTACAGTACATCCAGCCGTGCAATGTCTGAGGAGTGCTCCTGAGTCTGCAATGTACTGTGAAGATATCTGGGTCTTGAAACATGTTGATATTTTAAAGCTTTTTGAGTCAGAGATAACATAAAATGGAACTAATGGTGCAGTATTAATTGAAACCATGAGAACCATCTTATGTAATAATTAAACTGATGAATGAAATGGTTATGATGTACTAATAGTACAAGGGCACACATTGCATTGCATGTGAAATTTTCAAATAATAATAATAATAACTGATTTGCCTGTCACACTAAAACATCGTAAAAACTAAAACCAATTTTTTTCCCATGTTGGCTTTTGCATTAACAAAATTTAGCAATTGTAAATAAAGAGGTTTTAATTACTATGACTATTCAAGTCATAAAAGTACTTCCGTGAAGAAATTAATCAATTTAGGAAAACATATCTAACTTTAGATGCTCTGCATTTTAATTTAAATGACATGGTTTTAAGCCATACTATTAAAAAGGTCTATCAACCCAAGTCCATTTGCATCATGGTTTCTCAAAAAGTGAAGGTTTAGCTCTATAGAAGACTTTAATCATTTCCAACCACTTCAGTGGTGAATCTAGCTAGCAATATTCTTCTTCTAGTCTTGAATATCGTTCACCTAATACCACTTGAATCATTGTGAATGGTAGCTTGAGTTGAGGGGCCAATAGTTTAGAGAGCTGAAA